TAGACGAGTAATGGCAGCTGGTCCGCATGTCCGTAAGACATCAAAAAGCCATTTATATCTGAAAAAATCAAAAAGGCTTTCGGAAACGATAATATTAGGTGGAATCAAGCTCAATGGAAAAACATTATTTCTGGGATGAGTATACGTTTAATATTAAAGGCTCAGACGTGAAAAATTTTGCGGTGAGAAGACCAAAAAATGAAGGACTTAAGCCGCAGTGTTGCAAAGGTACAGTGAAGCATGAGGGAGGGTCAAAAATGGCGTGGCGCTGTTTTTCTTTCTATGGACTTGGGTCTATCCATGAAAGAAAGGAAGTTATGGATCGGTTTGTTTACAAAGATGTGTTGGACATCACGTTGTTCCCTTACGCTGAGTAAAATATTCGGCACATTTGGGTGTTACAGCATGACAATGATCCCAAACTTGCATCAAAACATGTCAAATATTTGTTGCGGGAGTCAAAAATCGATATTTTGTCATGGCCGGCACAATCACCTGACCTAAACTCCATAGACAACCTATGGATTATCGTAGATAGGAAGATCAAGCGAGATTCGGAAACAAATAAGCACAAAATTGTCTAAATAATTCGGGGTGCCTGGAAAAGCATACCCAAGGATCAAATTGAGCGTGTTATAGGTTCAATGCCTCGTAGGTGTGCAGCTGCTATCAAAAATAATGGATGCTATCGACTATTAGCCAAAATTTAATTATTTTAAAATAAAAAATCAAAAAGTTGCTTTAGTTTTGACCAAGCAAAAAATTGGGTAATTTTAGTTTTCCATATATTATTTTTCGTTCAAAATTATTTTTAGTTTCTTAAAATTGAATTAAAGACCTCATTTATAACTGGAAAAATAGTTACGATTTGTTTATTTTTGTAAAAGTTACAGGACATTTATTGTCTTTGCGATTTTAGTTCCTTTAGTTTTGGCCACCAGTGTATATATATATATATTTTTTTTTTTTTTGTCTGACTACATTCATCAATTGATTTGGCTACAAAAATTGTATTTAGGCAACTCAGGGGTAGAGAATAGTCCCTCAGATAATTGGCCACATAGGCATTTATTCGAATATAGTTGCCACATTAGTGTACCCACAAATCCACTTTCCTAACCAATGTTTGGTCAGAAAAGAAAATTTGATATACTATAGAATTTGAAACTCCCAAGAGAATATTGGTTGGGAACGTAGATGTGGGATTTACATCTACATGCCATAAACTACGAAATATCAAATTGTGGCAGAAACATGAAAAAATCACGAATATTAATTTTTTTGATCGTTATTGAATTATACTATGATGAAAAATATGGACTTTATGGGTTCTCCGACTCACAATTTAAATGACAAAAATAAATTAATTAATATTTCACGGTAATGGGTGTAAAAAAGCAATTATCTTTGACTATTTTGAAATCATTCCGCCCTCAATTATGAGGTGGACAAAACTAAATACCACGCAGCACGGTATTCTTAACATTGGAAATTCAATACCAAAAATTTAGCTGAGTTTTCACAGGGGGCTATTATAGAAGTTCTATATCATACAGGTTTTTAACACTCAATTATAGCCTTAGACTGAAAAATAAGATCAGGCTATTCAAAATATCTAAAACCGACGGTAGATTATTATCTATTATAATTTTTGTCATGAATTTTTATTTCTATTTAGAAATTACTATGGAGTTATTTTACTTATAACAAAAATTGTGCCGCTTACATAATTCTATAATGCTTAAAAAATATGCATTAAAGACTAAAAGAAGGAGCCGGCAACGCGGACCGGGCCAATTTCAATAGGGTTCGTCCTTGGGCAAAATAAATATTGTTTGGAAAATTTCAGCTTGACTCAGAAAGTGATTCTAAGAAGATCCTCAAAAGTACCTATGAATCTCTCTCTTCAGGTGGTGTAGGGTATACAAATAATATAGAGAAGGTTTTAAAATTTCAGTTTTTTTATTTTAGTATGGAATGCCATCTTTCATAATCAACAGAAAAACTCACGCCCACGCTTCAAATAATTGCCAACATAGTTCATTTTTTTGAATGATACAGATGCAAGGAGACAGCAATTTTAAAATTTTACACTTGTATAAAAAAATCGGTCCGGTATATTTTCATTTACGGTACATTTTACATTTTTAACATGTTTTACAAAATCATACAAAGCAGAAGACAATGAAGGCTGGAACAAGGAAGACTTTTTGATTGTTCTCTTCCCCCTTACGAATTACCTTTTATCCTGAGATTGTTGTATTTCCCTCTCTCCCTCTCTTTTTTGTAACACATGCTCTCATCTGGTAAGAGGACTTTAGAGAAGCCGGTCAACATTCTTTCAACATTTCATATGGAAATAAATCATGTGTTGCAGCTGCAAATAGTTGTTGCCGTTTTTCTTCTCCTTGTTGTTGTTTCGTTTTTTTCTATCCCCCCCAAAAAAGCACAACAATTTGTTGTTTGTTGCTTAGAAACGATGGCTTTTTCACGTTTGCACACATTTTGTTTTGCTGTTGCTTACAATGAATGCGCTTTGCTTACAAAGAAAGACATTAAAATCTCAGTTAGCTAAAACTTGAAATCAGTTCAAGTTTAAAACAGTTAAAGCGTTTTTGCGCTTGTTGTTGTTGTTAGTTATTGTGTGTTTAGCCATTTCTTTTTTGTTCATGAAGACAGAAATATGTTGGGGTTTTGCTTCGAGTTTTACTTGCTCCAGCTCTGTGAAACGCTTAAAGCCACCGCATAAAATATAACAACAAAAAAAACAAGAAAATCCAGTAGAAATAGTAAAAGTTTTAAATTGCGAGTTTTCTTAGACTTTTTTTTTAATTTTTGCATATTTGTAATATTGTGGACAAAAAGTCATAAATTGTTTGCTAGTGAAATTTTTTGTTACAAATATATTTTTTAATTGAAAAATTTTAATTGTAGCTAATATTATAAAATTGAAACGAAAAAACGAAACGCAAAGGAAAAGGTCAAAAGTCGAGCACATTTTAAGGAACTGTGTAAAATAATTCGTACGAACTATTAATACGAAATTAAAATTGCCTAACACTAGAAACCCTCCACCATAATGTGGCATTCTTTCAAATAATATTTTAAACCCCACAAAGTATATATATGTTCTTGATTAGCATAAGATTCTATGACGATTAGCCTTGCCCGTCCGTATGTGAAAATCACTCTAGCTTCCGAAAGAAATGATGTAGGTGGATAGAACTTTGTTCAGATGTACTTTAGGTCCATAGAATTTTGGTATAGAAAATAGTTCGAATAGGTATAGCCCCCATATAACTGTACTGACAGATAAAAGGTCTTTTTGTTGTTTTTGTCACAATTGTAAGCCGGATTTGCTATATATTAGCAGGTTGTGTTCCCAGTTTGTAGGATATGTCCATACAGAGCAGGTCTAAGTTTTAGTATAAATCCCATATAACTTTAAATTCTTATATTCGGTATTTTAAAGAATTTAGCGACATTGTTGGATAGAATTATTAATCGATAACTTATTAGATATGACACTCTTGGAGTAAATGATCGACTGATAATTTCAAACTTATTAATTATAGCCTCGACCATATGTCTACAGAGGGTATGTGTTACTTGATACGGCAAAAACGTGCCCCGTCGAAGTAACGGTTTTAGACACTAGGTCTCTGTGGAGCAAATTCGTTTCAGGACATTTGGAGTCAATCTAGGGGTTTCCGTTCGTCTGTGTTTCTCTATGGCTGGTGCGCACTATAACTCTCGAAGGGAGTATCATATTTGGTGCAAACTTGGTACATCGTAATATTATTATCAAACTTAAATCAAGTTCGGAGATGGGCAATATCGGTACACTCCTTCTGGTATCTCCTTCACAAAATTCGAATAAAATTGGAAATATATGCTGGATATTATACCCTCAGCCATATGCCGGGAGAGGGTATATATAATTTGATGCGGCAAAAACGTGCCTCATCGAAACAACGACTTTAGACCCTAAGCCTCTTTGGACCAAATCCATTTCAGGATATTTGGAGTCAATCTAAGGATGCCCGTTCATCTGTTTTTCTCACTGGCTGATGCGCACGATAACTCTCGAAGGGAGTATCATATTTGGTGCAAACTTGGTACATCGTAATATTATTATCAAACTTAAATCAAGTTCGGAGATGGGCAATATCGGTACACTTCTTCTGGTACCTCCCCCACAAATGATCGAAAATTTCAAAAAAATAATATAATAATAATAATTATTACTCTTATAAATTGTGATGTAAGAGTCCGATTGTCTTTGCATGACACACATCACAAAAATTGTATTAGCCGAACGTCTGGTGTGAATAAAACAGGAAATTAACATCCGATTCTATTCAGACTTGGTACATCTCTATATTTCCATTAACACAAGATCTGTTATAAACATGGTAGACATCGGACGATTTCGAACCATTTTTAATATTTTTTCTGACATTACTTGCGCAACAACTCAACGATTCTTTACAACTTTCTATATCAAAATATTTCTCTCAACCAAAAACCTGATATGAATATGGAATTAGTGATTTCGCATAAAATTGGATATAAATGTTCGATTTTTAGAACAGCGTTGGCATGTTTGACTAGATCTGGTACCTCAACCACATTTCAACCTTTTCTAAAAATTATCACATATCTTATATAAAGTGAAGGATGTATTCGATATAGTCCAAACCTGGTATGTTGCAATATTTATAGGTCCGATACGAAATGTACAATGTTGACCCATTCCTTAGGCACTTACTTCATAGAGAGTCAAACATTGAATAATCATAACAGAAGTCATAAAATATTTAATTAGACGAACATTATTGGCTGTCGGCTAAACCGACTTTTACTTTTAAACTTGTTTTTTTTTTTTAATTTAAGAAATGTCAGTATTTGTCAGTATTAGATTCACTTCATCTTTTTTGGATCTCTATATCACAATCAAGAATTTGAACAATCATAACACGAGGATAAGGGTATACATCTGTCGGCAAAACCATTTGAAGCTGATTAACTTGTTTTTTATTGTTTCGTTCTAAAATCGAGAGTACGACATTTTAATTCACATCATTTCACCCACTGGTTTTATGGTCAATTCATGAATTTGAACATGTGGTGGTGTTTGCAAACAAAACAGTGCTGCATTGGCAATATCTTCAGGTTGTAGGATGGGAAATTCAGGAGGTATTTCTTCACTTGATTGATTGATTTCCGTGTGTACAGCTCCGGGACTAAGACTCTGTCAAGAAATAAACAATAACAAACATATCCCTAAAAAATTTAACAACAACTTACAGTTATTTTAATTTTTGTTTTTTCATTGGCAAATTCCTGGCGCAAAACCTCTGTCATGGCTGTAACAGCATGTTTTGATGAGGGATAAATATTGAAGTTCATACCCGGAAAATTGGGTACACTGTGGCCAGCCACACTATTGACGATAATCACATGACCCATACCACCATTCCGTTGACGCATTGAACGAAAAGCTTCACGGGTACACCACACCACTCCCATAACATTTGTGTGCATGGTGGCCAATAAATCTTCCGAGTTGCCTTCAGCCAAAAGTGTTGTATTTTTAACCACCCCGGCGTTATTGATTAGAACATCGACACCACCAAATTTGTCTTCAATCCATGTGAAGGCATCTTTGACACTTTGTTCATCGGCTATGTCACATTTGAAGGCAGTGAAATTTTGTTTTTTATCCTCAGCCAAAGTATTTGTCACGGTGGTATTCATTTTGACCAGGCGTCGAGCCAGGCCCACCACTATCATGCCATTATCGACAAGGGTTTTACATAAGGCTGCTCCTATACCCGAACTGGCACCGGTAACCACAGCCACTTTATTTTGCCAACGTTGCATAGTTTTTTTTTTGGGTCTCTGTAAATACTCTAAATAGTGATTTGATTGGTACTGCCGGCTTGCTTTTTGGGGGAGTGTATTATAAACTGTTCAATGTATCATTAGATATAGTTTATCATCAATCGTTCAACAGAAAGATTATGTATTTTCATATCTAATCTTCTAGTGTGTTGAGTTTTGGTGTTTCACCTCTGCATAAAGATAATATTTGTTTTATATGACGAAATAAATCATTTGTATGGCTTATCGATTCGGTTATCAAGACTAGTTAAAGAATTCAGGATGTAAAACAAACTAAATCACGCAAATAGAATATAATAGCAGATTCTTAACATAGGTTAGTGTGTCACAACCACGAACATATGTCGAGTGTTACAGTGTAGGATAAACCTAAAAACGCATTAATAATAAGCGAATTCTAAAATATTGGTGGGATTTGATAGGAAAAATATTCAAAATGAAGTATGCAAAATGTTAGGAAAAGCGGACAAGGCGAGCACCTAAAAAGAAACGATAGTCAGGCGTAACCTTATTTCGAAAATACCGTCTTCCTGTACCAATATCCGATACCAAAACCTATTTTCTCCTGATAACAGAACTATTTATAAAATATTATCATAGGCGAGATTTTTATGCAAAATTTTATAGAAAATATTGTCGAATAACAATCATTTCTATAGAAAATATTGTCGAATAACAATAATTTCTATAGAAAATATTGTCGAATTACAATCATTTCTATAGAAAATATTGTCGAATAACAATAATTTCTATAGAAAATATTGTCGAATAACAATAATTTCTATAGAAAATATTATCGAATAACAATAATTTCTATAGAAAATATTGTCGAATAACAATAATTTCTATAGAAAATATTGTCGAATAACAATCATTTCTATAGAAAATATTGTCGAATAACAATAATTTCTATAGAAAATATTGTCGAATAACAATAATTTCTATAGAAAATATTGTCGAATAACAATAATTTCTATAGAAAATATTGTCGAATAACAATAATTTCTATAGAAAATATTATCGAATAACAATAATTTCTATAGAAAATATTGTCGAATGACAATCATTTCTATAGAAAATATTGTCGAATAACAATCATTTCTATAGAAAATATTGTCGAATAACAATAATTTCTATAGAAAATATTGTCGAATAACAATAATTTCTATAGAAAATATTGTCGAATAACAATAATTTCTATAGAAAATATTGTCGAATAACAATAATTTCTATAGAAAATATTGTCGAATAACAATAATTTCTATAGAAAATATTGTCGAATAACAATAATTTCTATAGAAAATATTGTCGAATAACAATAATTTCTATAGAAAATATTGTCGAATAACAATAATTTCTATAGAAAATATTGTCGAATAACAATAATTTCTATAGAAAATATTGTCGAATAACAATCATTTCTATAGAAAATATTGTCGAATAACAATCATTTCTATAGAAAATATTGTCGAATAACAATCATTTCTATAGAAAATATTGTCGAATAACAATCATTTCTATAGAAAATATTGTCGAATAACAATAATTTCTATAGAAAATATTGTCGAATAACAATAATTTCTATAGAAAATATTGTCGAATAACAATAATTTCTATAGAAAATATTGTCGAATAACAATAATTTCTATAGAAAATATTGTCGAATAACAATAATTTCTATAGAAAATATTGTCGAATAACAATAATTTCTATAGAAAATATTGTCGAATAACAATAATTTCTATAGAAAATATTGTCGAATAACAATAATTTCTATAGAAAATATTGTCGAATAACAATAATTTCTATAGAAAATATTGTCGAATAACAATAATTTCTATAGAAAATATTGTCGAATAACAATAATTTCTATAGAAAATATTGTCGAATAACAATAATTTCTATAGCAAATATTTTCGAATAACAATAATTTCTATAGCAAAATTTACCGATGACAATAATTTCCATAGAGAATCTTTTCGATTACAAAGCTTTAGATATTACATTCACCCACTCATTGTTTGAAATTGTATAGCTTGCAGAAACATAGGGTAACAATTTTGTGAACAGTCATTCTTATTGTGCAATAAATTTGTGATGAAATTCGCCAAACATGAAATTGAAAACAATTTTGGCTTCTTGGCGTGTGACCACAGAATAAAAAATGAAAGAGCAATACAAGCCATTTATTAATGGGGCATGTTCAATCGTTTTTTTACACCGGAAGAAATGGTTCCAATTGAAATTCTGGATAGATTGATTTTAATTTGAAATTCAATAACTAATAAAATATAAATACATTATCAGCTAAAATGATATATATTTTTTAGTTTTTCCAAAACAGTATTTCCCAGACAAATTTCAAGGTGAACATTGATTACTTTTACGGTGTATCATGAAAACATTCTTTTTGTGACACATTAGGCATTAGGTATGTCTCACTTTCATTCATTAGCAAAAGTGGAAAATGAATCTGTGGAAAAGAGAGGATAAGTGTCGGAATCGAGCTATTTTAAAGCTTGGGAACACAGACCTTAACGATCAGTTTTGTCAAACATTTTGAAGAGAACATTAAATCGAGGACCTCAGCCATGGAACGTTGGTTAAATAAAATCGCTGTTGTAACAGGTGCTGGCCAGACGTGTTGAAAAAATGGAAAAACAAACAAGGCCTAAGATTGATGAAAAATTCCAAAAGAACTTCCACACCCATACCTGTGACGTCAGTGACGAGCAGAGTGTTAAGGATGCCTTTGCTTGGATTGAAGAAAAATTCGGTGGAGTCGATGTCCTGATCAATAATGCTGGCATGATGCAAATGTCTGATTTAACAGCAGCTGATAATTCAACAATTGTCAAAAATACTGTGAGTACCAATATTTTGGGTGTTGTCTGGTGTACTCGGGAAACTGTTCGCAGCATGGAACAACGTAAATTTAATGGTCATATCGTTAACGTTAGCAGCATTGTAGGACATTTTATACCACGTATGACCGGCTACAATTTGAATATTTATCCACCCACAAAACATGCCATCAAGGCAATGACCGAAGTGTTGCGTCAGGAACTTCTTGCCAAGGAGACGAAGATTAAAATTTCGGTTTGTATAAAATTTTTCTAGGGAATTTTTGGGGACAAAAGTATTTTTTATAAAAAATGTTGTCGTTAAAATATTATTGAGAATCGTAGTTTATCAAATTAATATTTTCAATAACAATTGTGTTTACAACTAGTACTGTTATTGTCGATAATAATATTTTCTAACGAAAATTTTAGAAAATGTCTCTGCTCTTAACGATAGTGTTATTATATATGGTTAGGAGATTATAAAAAACCCAATATTAATAAGTAAGCAAAGGCTACAGTCGAGCGGGGCCGACCGTTGAATACCCCACAACACTATAATAAACGATACAGTTTATATAGGCGAGATACTCGAAAGAATTCCACAAGCTATTGTGACAAATAATAAAAGAAAACCATCAGGTTTCGTTCTTTAATTTTCGAATAATAGCAACTTAAACTAATTTGCTCATTTCCAATTTATTGGTAGATGTTGCACTTAAATGGTCTTCCTAGATCTGGAACCAATATTTCCCAAAGACCTATAATCTCTCAGAAGAGGCAAAAGATTAACATTTATTATTGGTTTTTGACTGAAACGCATCTATATGAGATACAGACATTTGACTATATTCTTCAACGAAATCAGCGTTAACGAAATACTCAGAAGTGCGTCTTTCCTGTATTTGTGAAATCTCCAAAAAGTCACTGGAATGGACATTTTCGTATTTTGTCTACAAAAGTTGGCAAACTATTTCACACATTGAATATTTTTGAATGGCCATCTAAAACTGCTTGGCTTTTGCAATGTCCGGTAACCCCATTCAAATGTGCGTGAGGATCGGGCGATAATTACGACCTGCTAACAATTTTGCAGTTTTTATACCCTCAACCATATGGCTACAGAGGGTATATATCATTTGATACGGCCAAAACGTGCCTAGTCGAAATAACGGTTTTAGACCCTAGGTCTCTTTGGACCAAATCCGTTTCAGAACATTTGGAGTCGATTTAGCGATGTCCGTCCATCCGTCCGTCCGTCTGTCTGTCTGTCGAAGGGAGTATCCGATTTGGTCCAAATTGGCTACAACGTAATATTTTTGTCAAATTTAGATCGAGTTCGGAGATGGGCAATATCGGTCCACTCCTTCTGATACCTCCCCCACAAAAGGTCGAAATGTTCAAAAAAAAATATTCTTTGCACAGAAAGAGAAAGGATAATCCGAATTTGCTCCAACTTTGCAAATCCTAATATTTGCGTCAGTGCTAGGGCAGGTGTGGAAATGGACAATATCGGTCCACTCCATCAAGTACCTCCCCCACAAATGGTCAAAATTTTGAATAATTACAACTCTCATAAAATGTTATGTAAGAGTCCGACTGTCTTCAAATTTCACACATCCCAATATTTATATTAACCCAAGGTCTTGTGTTAAGATGAACAATATCGGCCCACTCCTCCTGGTACCTCCCCAACAAAAGGTCGAAATTTTCAAAAAAAAAAAAACAAATTTTTTGCTCAGAAAGAGAAAGGCTAATCCGAATTTGCTCCGACTTTGCGAATCCTAATATTTGCGTCAGTGCTAGGACAGGTATGAAAATGGACAATATCGGTCCACTCCATCAAGTACCTCCCCCACAAAATATTGAAATTTTGAGTACCCATGAAGCACATAAATCGCCAAATTAACATCCGATTTCATTTAGACTTGGCACATCTGTCGAAATATTTATATCATATTTTGGGTCCGATAGGAAATGGGCAATATTGGCCCATTCCTTCGGGATCTTCTCCATAGAGGGTCAAACGTTTGAATAACCTTAACACTAGTCAAAATATATTTAGATAATCGAACATAGGCTGAGGGTATATCTCTGGCGGCAATACCGACTGATACTTTTTAACTTGTTTTGGTCCATTTCAACCCCTAAATATATGGCGATCATCTCCAAAAAAGAGTAGGCTTCTATTCTGACCCTCATCTTATCCCCATGCAAAATTTCGTAAGGATCGGGCCATAAATGCGATCTATATATGATATCCTGATATCCTAACCACTTAGTTTTGTTAGCTGTAGAAATATTACCAAATGTTTAATTCAAAATGAAAATATGCCAAAAATATGACAAAATTGAAAAAATATGAGAAAATGTTACAAAATCAATATTTTCATCTTTAGAGAGATATTTTTATGCGATTTTTTTAGACGTTTTTTCTTTCCTGCCAAGAGGCCATTCTGAATTAATGAGAACTATCGAAATCAGTTCAGCCGTTCTCGACATATAAGGGATCTTTCAAGCATATCTTCTTTGATAGACATATATATCGCACATATTTTGCTATATATCCGATTTGTTGGATGTTAATATCAATGTAAAGATCAGAAGTAACCTTGTCATGGTTTGTCATTCGCGGTTTAATGAAAAATTTTTAATTTTTTCAACAAAAAAGATATGGTCCCGCTAAATATTATCCGATGACCACCCAAATTGGTAGGCTTCTTCCCCGCCCTAAACTTTAGCTACATGCGAAGTTCCGCGTCGATTGGTCTATAATTTCGACCTGTATAGCTACTCCAAAATCCGACATTTTTTCAGTATTTGGTCCATTTCAACACCTAAACATTTGGCGATCATCTCCAAAAGAAATAGGCTTCTATTCCGACACTAACCCCACCCAACACATAGTGTTGTAGGGTATAAAAATGGGATTTTTTTATTTTTATGAAATAAGCTACCAATAAAGTAAATTATCCTAATTTCAGAGCGTCAGTCCCGGTGCTGTGAGAACTGAATTTTTGGGTGAAGGCGTGGAACTTCCAGAGAATACACCAGCTTTGAAACCCGAAGAAGTTGCAGATGCCATAGTTTATTGCATACAGACACCGCCGACGGTTCAAATTCACGATATGATTATTAATCCAGTTGGAGCAACTTATTGAAAATAAACCAACATACATACATCTATATAATTTATTGGATTGTATTTAACATTATTTAGTTTCTTAATAAAAATGTCATTATATTAAAATGCAGAATGTTTTTATTTCCAAAATTAAAATAAATGGAGTTTCAACAAGTAAAAAACATTAAGTTCGGCCGGGCCGAACTTTTAATACCTTCCACCTTTGGGTAGAGAAACCATTTTTATACAACAGTATCTGAATTCAAACGTATCCCACTCTAAAATACAAATACCAGTAAGAACGTTTGAATAATGCTGTTTAACTTTTAAAAACCATAAAGTGAGGGTGAGGCCATTATATGGGGCTATATCAAAACTGAAACCTCTATAGACAATTTTATAGTTCAAGGATTTTCATCTACTATATCTCCTAAAATACTGAATACTTGAAACAATTTCGCCGGTAAATGTGACTATGATTATCAAAATACCGAATATCGGTGGGTATCGCTATATGTGCGCAATAGCCAAAGTGGACTTAGAATTTTATACTGATTGTGAATATATACAATTTATGGGGTCTACGATGAATATTTAGGGATGTTACAAACGGAATGAGAAAGTTAATATAACCGTCTTTTCAAGGTGTCTTTTTGTTCCTTTCTATTGAGCTTACGATCTCGTCACTTGGGTAAAAAATGTTTTTTGTAATAGAAGTTATTTTTTAAAATAACTTCTGGGGAGAATATCCCAGACAAGAAACAAGGGAACTGATGAGGATTGGTGGCTCTTTCCGAAACCTAGGTATTCCCTGCCTTACCCCCTGGTAAACATTACCATCGTTCTCCACTCATAAACAAACGTTGTTTTTATAAAAACAACAATAATGGGATTTTGCCTGACGATTTTGCAACAACAAAATAATATGGTATCCCAAACAAGCAAGCCAAACACTGTTCTATTATTTTTTACTTGACGAATTTGTACTCTTTTCAAATTGCCAAAAAAAATTACTATTTTTTTTTATAATATCAAAATTAAATATATAAAATTAAGTTGAATCTCTAATTGAGTGGTAAATATTATTATCTGATCTATGGTAGCTAAATCGTTTTAATATAAAACCTGAGTCAAGCCAAAATTAAAATGGTTAAAATCAACATAATATCGTAGACAGACTACCAGTAGACAACAACTCATATTAAAACAAGTTAAAAAGCAGTAAGTTCGGCCGGGCCGAACTTTTAATACCCTCCACCATTTGCAACGAATTTGGAAATTTTCAAAAATAAAATCCTTAAAAAATTCTGTTAAAATTTTAAAAATACCGAATATAGCCGTTATATTGGGGTCTATACGACGTGGACATACATATGCATTGTTTGTCATAAGCCATCACCATATTCAAATTCGAAACTTGAAATAAACGGTGAATAATGTAGCTAAAATCATCAAAATATCGTATATAAGGAGGTGCCGTTAAATTGGAGCTGTGCGAAGACCTGGATCAGCATAGACAATTTTCTGTCACAGGCTGTAGCATCCTATACGAACTTCAAATACCACATCTCAAACAATTTCGGTGGGTATTGTAGCTAAAATCGCAAAATACCAAATATAGGGAGGCACTGATATATGGGGCCTATACGAAGACCTGGACCCGCACCGACAATTTTCTGTCACAGACTGTAGTTCCCATAACGAAATTCAAATACCAATTTTGAAACAATTCCCTTGAATAATGTCGCTAAAATCATCAAAATACCGAATATAGGGAGGTACTGTTATATGGGGGCTATACGAAGACGTGGACCTGCACAGACAATTTTCTGTCTTAGGGTGTAGTATCCATTTGGAACTTCAAATACCAAATATTAAACAATCCCGTTGAATAATGTCGCTAAAATCATCAAAATACCGAATATAGGGAGGTACCGTTATATTGGGGCTATACGAAGACGTGGACCTGCAAAGACAATTTTTTGTCTTAGGGTGTAGTATTCATTTGGAACTTCAAATACCAAATTTGAAACAATTCCCGTGAATAATGTCGCTAAAATCATCAAAATACCGAATATCGGGAGGTACCGTTATATGGGGGCTATACGAAGACATAGACTTGCACAGACAATTTTCTGTCCTAGGGTGTAGTATCCATTTGAAACTTCAAATACCAAATTTGAAACAATTCCGGTGAATAATGTCGCTAAAATCATCAAAATACCGAATATCGGGAGGTACCGTTATATGGGGGCTATACGAAGACATAGACTTGCACAGACAATTTTCTGTCCTAGGGTGTAGTATCCATTTGGAACTTCAAATACCAAATTTGAAACAATTCCGGTGAATAACGTCGCTAAAATCATCAAAATACCGAATATAGGTATATACATTTACGAACTTAACCTGCCTACTGGAAAAATAAATATGTGTGCAAAATTTTAGCCATCTATCTCAATTCATTCGAAAGATAGCGTGATTACAACAGACAGACGGACAGACAGACGGACATCGCTAAATCGACTTAGAATTTTACGCTGATCAAGAATATATATACTTTGTTGGGTCTGACATGAGTATTTCGAGGAGTTACAAACGGAATGACAAAGTTAATATACCCTCCATAGTATGGTGGAGGGTATAATTAGCAAGTCATTGTACCCAGCAACAACAGATAACATTTAGAGCCTCACAAACGACGTCAACAATCGTGTTTAGCATATTTTATTGAGAATACCAACAGAGGGGCACGCGTCAATTGTTTTAGTAGTAAAACAGAGGGTGAGAGTGAGATGACAAGCCCAAATTGATAAGAACAATGACACTACACTGAAAAAATCACATGCGTTCAAACAACGTCTCTCATGTACAACGTATCAGAACGTGGAGTCGTACACGACAAAGTGAACACTTGTGATCAACTATTCTTATTCCCTCGCTGTTTGTTTACTAGTAACTAGCTTATCATTCGCCCTGTGGGGTAATTGAAAGTGAAGGTGAATGTATCGACTTTTAACGATAAGATTAAAATTACTAGTTAAATTTTCTTTGACATGACATTTTCTTTTAGTCCGAAAATGTCAAAGGAAGAAATATTTAAAAAATTATTAAAAAATCACTTTTTCAAGTGAAAATAATGTGTTTACGTTTTTGTGTTAATTGAAAACGTTTCCATTCTAAGACAAAATCCTCCTTTTTTGGAGAAACTGTCAGAAGAGAAATATTAATGATCGTAAAAAATATAAGAGTAACTCTTTAGCTCTTTAGAGGTACATCGTAATATTCTTGTCAAGCTTATATCGAGTTCGGAGATGGGTAACATCAACAAAGGCCAAAATTTTCAAAGAAAATAATTTACCTCATACAAAGAGAAAGGATCATTATTTTTTGTGGACAATATCGGCCTTCTCTGTGAAGTACTTCCCTCAGAAGGGGTCGAAATATTGAACAATCATAAATTTTTATAAAATGTGAATTAAGAGCCGTTTGTCTTCAAATTTCGAACATTTCAACATTTTTGTAAACACAAGATGCGTTTTGAAGATGAAATATATCGGACCACTCCTTCTGGTCCACACATTCCAATATTTCTACTAACAAAAGCTCTGTTGCGAATTTGTTGTATATCGGACAACTCCTTCTGCTACGTCACCCACAAAGGGGTCAAAATTTTGAATAACAAATTGGTCATATAAATAAAAAAAAAGCATCCGATTATCCTTAAATTTCACAAATCACAATATTTTTTCTAACGAAATATCAGGTGTGAAGATGGGATATATCGGTCTACTTCTTCTGGTACCTCCCCCACAAAGGGTTCAAAATTTTGAATATTTGTATCTCTCATAAAATGTAAAATAAATATCCAATTATTTTAATATCAATAATTTTATTTTAGCGTCCCCCATAAAGGTGTCGAAATTTTGAATTTTATACCTCTCCTAAAATGCGAAATAAGCATCTGATTCCTTCTTCACTTCACACCATGCAATATTTCTACTAATACGAAATCTCTCATACTTATATCTCTTATAACATACGATACAAGTGAACGATCCTTTTCAAACTTGGTATTTCTTAATATTTTTCTCAACCAGAAATCTGATGTGAATATAAAGGAAGTAACCCATATAGTCAAAATCTGGCACGTTGTAGTATTTATATCAGATTCAAGTCAGATACGAAATGGGCGATATTGGTCCATTCCTTCGGAACCTCCAATTATTAATTTTGATTTTTTTTCTTTTTTATTTTTCAAAACAATAAAATCTACCATACCTTTTTATAAGTCAATGGAATATTAGGTTCGTAGAATTTTTTGTACTGAAAATGGGACGTATGGGTCGACGATTGGGTACAGCTCTTTTATAAGGGTACGGTACGACTGAAGGCTTTTTGGGATGTTAGCCATATTTTTAAACCGTATTGGCTGTAAGTCGGCCGATAGTATTTCCAGCGGGAAGAAAACATTCTTTCAAGGCACTGCCTATTCAGGTTCATATTTTGATACAGACCCCACCCATATAATAATAACTTACTATTTTTGGTATTTAGATTATTCAAGACACAGTTTTTATACGGAATTTTTTCTAAGTTAAAAAATGTTAAACAGAACCCAAATTACGTTCAGTACCTCGATTAACGGTAGTATAGTGTTCATATCATATCTTTTTTTAATATATATACATTTAGCATTGTCATATTTGTTGCGACGTGAGTGTGACAAGCATTTGTATTTTAAAAACATTTAATTTTTGAATAACTCAAAATGTAGTTCTCAGTTGAAATTTGGTATTTGTAAAAACCGGAAGAATATTAAAAAAAATGTATCGTTGGCAAAATAAAATAGCTGTGGTAACAGGAGCTAGTGCTGGCATTGGAGCTGCCACCTGCAAAGCTCTTGCGGAAAAGGGAATGATGGTGGTGGGTCTAGCTCGACGGGTGGAGAAAATGGAAAATCAAACAAGACCACTAATTGCCAATGAATATCAAAAGAATTTCCATACCCACAAATGTGATGTGTCCGATGAGGAAAGTGTAAAGGCGGCGTTCGCCTGGATTGAAGAAAAATTCGGTGGCATCGATGTTTTGGTCAACAATGCTGGTATCGTAAAAATGGGTTCCATTGTTGATCAAAATAATTCAGACATCATAAAGAATACCGTCAACACCAATGTTTTGGGTGTTGTCTGGTGTACTCGGGAAGCATTCCGTAGCATGAAAGAACGCAATGTCAATGGTCATGTTGTAATTATCAACAGTGTTGCTGGTCATAAGGTACCGAGTAATACGACGGGCTATGATCTAAATATTTATTCACCAACAAAACATGCCGTCACCGCCATGACCGAAGTTATGCGTCAGGAATTCTTGTCCAAGGAGACCAAAATCAAAGTAACTGTAAGTTGTAAATGAGTATAATCACGAAACGAAATGTTATTTTACTACTGTTCTTTATTTGAATAGAGCATAAGTCCTGGCGGTGTGAAGACGGAAATTATGGGCGAAAATATTGAATTTCCTCCGGAAATACCAGCTTTGAATCCTGAAGATATTGCCGATGCGGTTGTTTACTACATGTGCAAATCCATGAAATGATTATCAAGCCAATTGGAGAAACGATTTAGAAATAACATGATAATATTTCATATTAATAAAGACCACAAACTAATTTAATAATTCGATTGTGTTTCTATGTTAGAAAAAATATATTTGAATATCCTGCCGTAATTTAAACAATACTATTTTTAAGTGAAATTTTTGTTATCGTGGTATCGACATTTTCTCTACCGGAAATATTGTTATCGACAAATTTTTCCCTTTAAAAAACGGTTATTTACAACATTTCCTCTATAGAAAATACAACATGTTCTCTATAGAAAATATTATTATCGAAAACATTTTCTCTAAAGTGTTGTTATCCACATTATCGACAATCTTTTCAGTAAATTTTTTTTTTCAGTAAAATTGTTATCGAAAATTGTTGATATTATCTATATCTATAAAAGAGGAAAATGTTTGTACGTTTGTTTGTTTGTTTGTTTGTTTGTTTGTTTGTTTGTAATTTATGGACTCGAAAACTGCTGAATAGATTTTTCTGAAAATTTCCATATATACTGCAACATCGCCTGAAAGTAACATAGGCTATATACATTTTTGAATTTCCACTTGGAACTGGAGATATAGCATCAGAATCGGAGGTACCTCCCAAAAATTTAGATTTTATATGCACATATCTATTGATCGGTTAAAGATACAGTCTACAAATTTGGAATGTGTAACGGAATTTGGAACAAAAATAAGTTTGCTAAATTATATTGTAATCGGTTCAGATTTGGATATAGCTCCCATATATATTTTCGACCGATTTCGTTCATTTGAAGCCTCAAACACAATATGAATGTTCGATTCCAATGAAATTTGGAATATGTGACGGGATTTGATCCGAAAATAAATTTGTCAAATTATATTGAAATCGGTTCAGATTTGGATATAGCTCCCATATATATTTTCGGCCGATTTCAAGCATTTGATGCACCAAACACGCTATGTATCCCCAATTTCAATGAAATTTGAAACGTGTGATAGATTTTATCTAAAAAAATTTATTTCCCAAATTATATCGAAATCGGTTCAGATTTGGATTTAACTCCCATATATATTTTCGGCCGATTTCATGTATTTGGTGGACCAAATAAGATATGTATGTCCAAATTTAATGAAATTTAAAATAAGTAACGGAATCGGGAGCAAAAATGAATTTTTCAAATTATATTGAAATCGGTTCAGATTTGGATATAGCTCCCATATATATTTTCCGCCGATTTCACATATTTGATGCACAAAACACGATACGTATTTCCGATTCCAATGAAATTCGGCATGAGTGGCTAAATTTGGTACAAAAATAAATTTGACAAATTATATTCAAATACGCTCAGATTTAATTATAGCTCCCATATATATACTCAGCCGATTTCACATATTTGATGCACCCAAAGCGAGAAAGACGAAATCTGGCACCAGAAAAAATTTCCAAATTTTATTGAAATCAGTTGAGGTTTGGGTATAGCTAACATATGTGTGGTTACAATAATAAATGTGACAAATTAATTGGAAATTAGTTAAGATTTAGATACAGCTCCCATATATATATTCTCGGCCGATTTCACGTATTTGACGCACTAAATTCAATGAAATATGAAAGGTGTGGCGGAATTTGGTGTAAAAGTAATTTTTTTAAAATTATATTTAAATCGTATCAGATTGGGATATGATTTTAATAAGAACCATTGACCCACAACGCCTTAGGCTAACACTAAAAAACAACACAACAATTAATTTGAAATACGCTTATTACGGCGAAGTATGTTGCTATCTCGAATTCATTAATTGCAACAGAAATGCCACTCATCTTCAAAAGATTGCAGTTTACTGCACGCTTGGTATTTGCTATGATTGCAATGAAATTTGGAATATGTGACTGGATTTGATCCGAAAATAAATTTGTCAAATTATATTGAAATCGGTTCAGATTTGGATATAGCTCCCATATATATTTTCGGCCGATTTCAAGCATTTGATGCACCAAACACGCTATGTATCCCCAATTTCAATGAAATTTGAAACGTGTGATAGATTTTATCTAAAAAAAATTTATTTCCCAAATTATATTGAAATCGGTTCAGAGTTGGATATAGCTCCCATATATATTTTCGGCCGATTTCATGTATTTGGTGGTCCAAATAAGATATGTATGTCCAAATTTAATGAAATTTAAAATAAGTAACGGAATCGGGAGCAAAAATGAATTTTTCAAATTATATTGAAATCGGTTCAGATTTGGATATAGCTCCCATATATATTTTCGACCGATTTCATGTATTTGATGCACCAAACACGCTATGTATCTCTAATTTCAATGAAATTTGGAATCTGTAGGGGAAATTAAAACGAATATACATTTGTCAAATTATAGTAAAATCGGTTCAGATTTGGATATAGCTCTCATATATATTTTCGACCGATTTCATGTATTTTATGCACCATGCACGATATGTATGTTCGATTCCAAAGAAATTTGGAATATGTAACGGGATTTTGATTAGAAAATGAATTAGTCAAATTATATTAAAATCGGTTCAGATTTGGATATAGCTCCCATATATATTTTCCGCCGATTTCACATATTTGATGCACAAAACACGATACGTATTTCCGATTCCAATGAAATTCGGCATGAGTGGCTAAACTTGGTACAAAAATAAATTTGACAAATTATATTCAAATACGCTCGGATTTAATTATAGCTCCCACATATATACTCAGCCGATTTCACATATTTGATGCACCCAAAGCGAGAAAGACGAAATCTGGCACCAGAAAAAATTGCCAAATTTTATTGAAAACAGTTGAGGTTTGGGTATAGCTAACATATGTGTGGTTACAATAATAAATGTGACAAATTAATTGGAAATTAGTTAAGATTTGGATATAGCTCCCATATATATATTCTCGGCCGATTTCACGTATTTGACGCACCAATTTCAATGAAATATGAAAGGTGTGGCGGAATTTGGTGTAAAAGTATTTTTTTTAAAATTATATTTAAATCGGATCAGATTGGGATATGATTTTAATAAGAACCATTGACCCACAACGCCTTAGGCTAACACTAAAAACAACACAACAATTAATTTGAAATACGCTTATTACGGCGAAGTATGTTGCTATCTTGAATTCATTAATTGCAACAGAAATACCACTCAACTTCAAAAGATTGCAGTTTACTGCACGCTTGGTATTTGCTATGAAATAAATAAATCCGAAGGACAAACCCTTCGTGTATGTATGTCATGTTACCGTTTTTCTAATGGTTTTGTATATTTACGCATTAAAGTAGTGCAATAATTTTTTTTTAATTATAAAATTTCTTTTTTTTTAACCAACATATATTCGTAAATAAAATTTTGAATGCATATAAAATCAAAAGGGGTAGCGAAGCGCACCGGGTTCAGCTAGTTTTCTATAGAAAATAATGTGGATAACAGAATTTTCTGTAGAAAATAATTTGGATAACAGGATTTTCTATAGAAAATAATTTGGATAACAGGATTTTCTATAAAAAATAATTTGGATAACAGGATTTTCTTCAGAAAATAATGTCGATGACAGCAATTTCTATAGAAAATAATTTCGATAATAGGATTTTCCTTTTATCGACTCTATGTTCTATAGAAATACCGATTATCGACATTATTTTTTATAGAAAATCCTGTTATCGACATTATTTTCTATAGAAAATCCTGTTATCGACATTATTTTTTATAGCGAATCCTGTTATCGACATTATTTTTTATAGCGAATCCTGTCATCGACATTATTTTCTATAGGAAATCCTGTTATCGACATTATTTTCTATAGAAAATCCTGTTATCGACATTATTTTCTATAGAAAATCCTGTTATCGACATTATTTTCTATAGAAAATCCTGTTATCGACATTATTTTCTATAGAAAATCCTGTTATCGACATTATTTTCTATAGAAAATCCTGTTATCGACATTATTTTCTATAAAAAATCCAGTTATCGACATTATTCTTTATAGAAGATAATGTTATCGACATTATTTTCTGTAGAAAATCCTGTTATCGACATTATTTTCTATAGAAAACGGCATCCTAATCTCAGCTACTTTTTAAGAACCCTTCGGGCTTTTGTAGAATATCCAAATCCAATCTATATGCAAACCTCGCCATTGAAACCGTTTGCTTTGTTAACAATAATAAAATGACGTATTGAAAATTACCATATGAGTTTGGAATTTAAATAATTTTCACATTAATTTACACATTTAATTTATTCTTTTTATTCTATAGACACAAAAACTCTTTTAACAACAGTAACAATGCAAATAACCCACATGAAATTATGGAAACTGATGAGCAATGATTTTTGTATAGGATTTTTACAATATATATAAATGCCAGGGAAATCTTTACTATTGAAACAGTTATTCGTCATATCGAAAAACGAAAACGGTATCAAAACTTCATCATGGAACGTTGGACAAATAAAGTAGCGGTTGTAACTGGAGCAAGCTCTGGCATTGGGGTGGCCACTTGCAAGGCCCTGGCAGAACAGGGCATGATTGTTGTGGGCCTAGCTAGACGTGTGGAAAAAATCATTGCCCAAACCAGACCTTTGATTTCGCCACGGTATCAGAAAAACTTACATCCATATAAATGTGATGTTGGCAATGAGGACAATGTTAGGGCCGCATTTGCCTGGATAATTGAGAAATTTGGCAGCATCGATGTTTTGATTAATAATGCTGGTGTTGTATATAACTCGTACATAATTGATTACGATAATTCAGAAGCTATTCGAAGTACGGTGAGTACAAACATCTTGGGGGTAGTTTGGTGTACCCGTGAGGCACATCATAACATGAAGGAGCGTAATTTTGATGGTCACATCATCAATATCAACAGCATTGTGGGTCATTCGTTGACCGAATCAGCTGGTTTGAATATTTATCCACCTACCAAGTATGCGGTGACGGCAATGACTGAAGTCGTGCGTCAAGAGTTGCGGACACGCAACTCGAAAGTTAAAATTACGGTAAAACATAAAGCTGAGAAAAAGTCATAAAAATGTTAACTATTTATTTTTTCATTCCTCATATTCTTAGAGCATCAGTCCTGGTGAGGTAAAAACAAAACTTTTCGGAGAAAATTATGAATATCCTGCCGATATGCCGTTGCTTGCTCCCGAAGATATTGCCAATGCCATTGTCTATTGCATACAGACACCGCCTCATGTTCAAGTCCATGAAATGATCATAAAACCCGTTGGAGAGAAGATATGATTATTGAAATAATTTTTTAAATTAACAAAAAATAGTTTTTACAAAATAAAGAGGGTTTATGGATAAAATAAATTTTTTTATTAAAAATCTATAGCGACAATTTTACAAAAATGGCAATTGATGATTAAATATTTTAAAGAAAATATTATCGAAAATATTATTGTACTTCAATTGCAATTAAGTTCCCAAAATTTCACCTGGAATCTTTTCTCTCCGTGTAGTATAATAATAACTTGATATATTCTCTCCGTGTAGTATAATAATAACTTGATATATTCTATTATTATCTAATAGGTGTTGTAGTTGTATTATTTTTATTATGGTCACACGCAAAGAAGCTGAAATTGCTATCAATTTTACTATTTCATGAATTTCATAATAAAATAATCGTCACGAACGAGTGACTCGGCAAAATTTTCTTTTCGAGCTATTAGAATCAATAGATGGTGAACATAATAATATTATTGTTATAAAAACAGTTTTGTTATCTAAATAAAGTTTTATTATCTAAAGAAACGTTTTACAATTGATTCTGTAGAAAGTCTTTTTATTTTCTAAAAAAATCGTTTACAATATTTCCTATAGGAAATATCTTATTATTGACAATATTTTCTATAGAATCGACAAAATGTTCTATAAAAATCTTGTTATCGACAATATTTCCTCTAGAAAATCTTGTTTTTGACAATATCTTGAATTAAAAATCTTGTTATCGATAATGTTTTCTATAGGAAACTATTGTTATCGACAATAGTTTCTATAGAAAATCATGTTATCGACAATATTTTCTCTAGAAAATCTTGTTATAGAAAATATTTTCTATAGAAAATATTGTTATCAATAATATTTCCTTTAGAAAATCTAGTTATCGATAGTATTTTCTATAGAAAATCTTGTAATCGATACTATTTTCTATAGAAAATTTTGTTATCGATAGTCTTTTTTATAAAAAATCTTGTTATCGGATATATTTTCTATAGAAAATCTTGTTATCGATAGTATTTTCTATAGAAAATCTTGTTATCGATAGTATTTTCTATAGAAAATCTTGTTATCGATAGTATTTTCTATAGAAAATCTTGTTATCGATACTATTTTTTATAGAAAATCTTGTTATCGATAGTATTTTCTATAGAAAATCTTGTTATCGATAGTATTTTCTATAGAAAATCTTGTTATCGATAATATTTTCTGCAGAAAATATTGTTATCGATGGTTCTTTCTATAGAAAATCTTGTTATTGATAGTATTTTCTATAGAAAATCTTGTTATCGATAGTATTTTCTATAGAAAATCTTGTTATCAATAGAATTTTCTATAGAAAATCTTGTTATATTTTCTATAGGAGATATTGTTATCGAAAACTTTTCTAAAAAAATCTTATATTTTAATATGAAAAAGGTGTAATCGAAAATTTATTCCATAGAAAATATTTTTGTCGGCACAATCTTCTCTAGAAGATGTTTCATATAAAAATCCCGATGTCAATCATATTTTTTATGGAAAGTCTTTATATCTTCAATATTTTCTTAAAAATCGTGTATTATGTGTATTATTTTCTACAGAAAATCATTTTGTCGATTATATTTTCTAAGGTATTTATACCCTACAACACTATGTGTTGGGGGTATTATAAGTTTGATTGGGCCAAAAATTATGTAACACCACGAAATATTGATTTCCCATATAGGAAAGTATATATGGATCTTCCTAGCTCGCCGAGATGAGTCGATCTAGCTATGTATGTCCGTCCGTCCGTCTGTCCGTCTGTCCGTCTGTCCATGTTAATTTGTAATCACTCTACAGGTCGCAATTATGGTCCGATCTTCACGAAATTTAAAATGGAGGTGGGGCTAGGGTCAGAATAGAACCCTATTTCTTTTGGTGATGATCGCATAATATTTAGGGGTTGAAATGGACCAAAAACTGAAAAAATTCCTGATTTTGCACTTGCTCTACAGGTCGCAATTATAGACCAATCGACGCGGAATTTCGCATGTAGCTAGAGTTTAGGGCGGGGGGAAGCCTACCAATTTGGGTGGTCATCGGATAATATTTAGCGGGTAAAATAGACCATATCTTTCTTGTTAAAAAAATTCAAATTTTTTCATTAAACCGCGAATATTTTAAATCCCGGCGAAATCACAAAGCCATAACAAGGTTACTTCTGATCTTTGCATTGATGTTAACATACAACAAATCGGATATATAGCAATATATGTGCGATATATATGTCTATCAAAGAAGATATGCTTGAAAGATCTCTTATATGTCGAGAACGGCTGAACTGATTTCGACAGTTCTCATTAATTCAGAATGGCCTCTTGGCAGGAAAGAAAAAACGTCTAAAAAAATCGCATAAAAATATCTCTCTAAAGATGAAAATATTGATTTTGTAAAATTTTCTCATATTTTTTAAATTTTGTCAAATTTTTGGCATATTTTCATTTTGAATTAAACATTTGGTAATATTTCTACAGCTAACAAAACTAAGTAGTTAGGATATCAGGATATCATATACAGATCGCATTTATGGCCCGATCCTTACGAAATTTTGCATGGAGATAAGATGAGGGTCAGAATAAAAGCCTATTCTTTTTGGAGATGATCGCCATATATTTTGGGGTTGAAATGGACCAAAAAAACTGCAAAATTGTCAGCAGGTCGTAATTATGGGGGTTACCGGACGTTGCAAAAGCCAAGCAGTTTTAGATGACCATCCAAAACTATTCAATGTGTGAAGGAGTTTGCCAACTTTTATAGACAAAATACGAAAATGTCCATTCCAGTGACTTTTTGGAGAATTCACAAATACAGAAAAGACGCAACTCTGACTATTTCGTTAACGCTGATTTCATTGAAGAATATAGTCAAATGTCTGTATCTCAGATAGATGCATTTTAGTCAAAAACCAATAATAAATGTTAATCCCCTGCCACTTTTGAGAGATTATAGGTCTTTGGGAAATATTGGTTCCAGATCTAGGAAGACCATTTACGTGCAACATCTTCCAATAAATTGGAAATGAGCAAATTAGTTTAAGTTGCTATTATTCGAAAATTAGAGAACGAAACCTGATGGTTTTCTTTTATTATTTGTCACAATATCTTGTGGAATTCTTTCGAGTATCTCGCCTATATAAACTGTATCGTTTATTATAGTGTTGTAGGGTATTCAACGGTCGGTCCCGCACGACTGTAGCCTTTGCTTACTTGTTTTACAATAATTCCCTTCTTTCGACAATTAATTTTTCTACAAAATAGTAATCTTATATATATGGGTCTTTTCAAAATATGCCCAATCACTATTAATTGCCATTTTTATTGTTGGTAATAGCGTGTAGTTATCATAGTTCGATAGGGTCATTGATATTCAAACCAACACCAACAGACTACATATAGATGGGGAGAACACTCAACACAGAAATTTTCTAATAAAAATAAATTACGCGGAATCTTCGATTCAGTCGCAAATTTGAAATCACATCAGAAGCATGGAACGTTGGCAAAATAAAATAGCTGTCGTGACCGGAGCCAGTGCTGGAATTGGTGCAGCCACTTGTAAGGCTCTCGCCGAAAAGGGTATGATTGTGGTGGGTCTAGCTAGACGGGTGGAAAAAATGGAAACTCAAACAAGACCCCTTATTGCCAGTGAATATCGAAATAATTTCCATACCCGAGTCTGTGATGTTTCCGATGAGGAAAGTGTAAAGGCGGCATTTGCCTGGATTGAGGAAAAATTCGGTGGAGTTGATGTTTTGGTCAACAATGCTGGCATATATAAAGCGGCATCCATTGTTGGTCCAGATAATTCAGAGGCTATAACAAGTACTGTTAACACAAATATTTTAGGTGTTGTTTGGTGTACGCGCGCAGCATTCCAGAGCATGAAGCAACGAGGCGTTGATGGTCATGTTGTCATAATTAATAGCGTAGCCGGTCACATTGTTCCCACTTTTGTAAATGGTTTAAATTTTAATATATATCCGCCTACCAAACATGCGGTCACCGCAATGACTGAAGTGATGCGTCAGGAGTTTTTATCGCAAGAAACAAAAATTAAAGTGACAGTAAGCTGAAATTTACTTAACATTGTGTGTTTCTCATGACATCATGAACCATGAAATTGTTTTTCAATATTTACAGAGCATTAGTCCCGGTGCAGTAAGAACAGAAATCTTGGGCCAAGGTATCGATTTCCCTAATGAACTTCCTGCTTTGGCTAGCGATGATATAGCCGATGCTGTTGTTTATTGTATACAAACTCCTCCCCATGTTCAAATTCATGAAATGATTATCAAGCCCATTGGTGAAAAGGTGTAATGTTTTAGAGTGAAGGTTTAAATAAAATTATGGAAAATTAAATGGACATTTGTTTTTCTACGAAACTTCCTTATACAAATGTTAAAGCTGTCAATAGAATTATATATAGAAATTTTTATTTTCATGGGAAATATTTCAATATAAATTAGCATACATATAGAAAATCTTGTTATCGACACTATTTTCTATAGGTCAAATTTAATAATTTCTATGGAGAATTTTGTTATCGACACTACTCTCTAAAAAAATCGTGTTATCGACAATTTTTCTATAGAAAACTTCGTTATCGATAATATTTCTATAGAAAATTTTGTTATCGGCAATATTTTCTGTAAAAATTTTGTTATCGGCAATATTTTTATGGATAATTTTATTATCAGCAATATTATCTATAGAAATTATTGTTATCGACAACAATTTTTATAGAAATTATTGTTATCGGCAATATTTTTAATAGAAAATATTGTTATCGGCAATATTTTCTATAGAAATTATTGTTATCGCCAATATTTTCTATAGAAATTGTTGTTATCGCCAATATTTTTTATAGAAATTATTGTTATCGCCAATATTTTCTATAGAAATTATTGTTATCGCCAATATTTTCTAAAGTAATTTTGTTTTCGACAGTATTTTCTGTGGAAAATACAATATTTTTTGCTTACCTGCACAATCAAAAATTGCACGACATCTTGTGCAGCAATGCCCAAAATGCAGGTAGCTTCATTGCACTTATCTGCACAATGAAGCAGGTATCTTTAATTTTACTTACGTGCACAAAAAGTGCAGGTATCTTTAATTTTCTATTCGTATGTATTTGAGCATCAGTGGTGTTTTATCCAGCATAACCATCTTTTAGTGTGGGAGAGGAAGCGAGAATATGTTTTTAATACATGCTCTTTTCTTGTGTTGTTATTGTTTTTGCGAATACAAAAACAAAAACGATGTGGTAGTTTTTAGTGTCTTTTTTGAGTTTGCAAAAAATTTTCTTGTGCAGATAAATACAACTTTTGTAACCAAATTAAAAAAAATTACCAAATTTTCGAGGCAGGAATGTCCAATATGCAGCTATCGATTGGGCACTTAAATACAATTCAAATAAAGGGATTCAGAAAAAAATGGCATAACAAAAGTTTTTTGGTCTGCAAAGGCCAATGCGCAGCTAATGTTGATGCAGGTAAATAGAAACCACTGTATTATTATTATATTTTCTATAGAAAATCTTGTTATCGACAGTATTTTATTATTGACAATATTTTTATAGCATACTTTGTTATAGGTAATATTTATAATAGACAATATTTTCTAAAGAAAATCACGCTATGGATTTTCATGGAAAATTTGTCGACAATGTTTTCTGTAAGAAATCTTGTAATAGACACTATTTTATAGAGAAAATCTTGTTACCAAGGCTATTTCCTACAAAAAATTGTATTGATTATTTGGCATTATCAATGCCAAACCTGTTATCGTCATTGTTTCGTTTGGATGTTTTTATTTTTTTCAGTGTATTTTGAAGCTTCCACTTAACTGATAATTATGAACAAACTATGTTTGCCAAACCATTTGTTTAATGGGACAAACTAACCAGACATAAAATATTTGCTTGTCATTCTGTATGGAACGGTCTGATGACCTATGCCAAAAATAACAAAACACAATAATCATTAATAGAATAAAAATAGAAACTTAGTTACGTAGTAAAATTTTTTATTTAAAACAATTTTTCAGTAAACGATAACACCTCGTAGAGTAGACATCTGTAAGAGAAGAAAAAAAAATGGGACGTTGGACAAATAAAATCGCTGCAGTGACTGGTGCTAGCGCAGGTATTGGAGCAGCCACATGTAAATCACTTGCGGAAAAGGGTATGATCGTTGTGGGATTGGCAAGGCGGGTGGAGACTATGGAAAGTCAAACAAGGCCCCTAATCGCTAATGTGGCGTTTCCACTGCACTTGATTCGCTCTCTATTCGTTGTTTGACCCTTAACTATGAAAAACCTACTTAATTCTTCACACAAAATTTCCTGAGCGAACACTCATATTTGTACATTGTTCAAATCAAATCACTCTCAGAACAACGAAAAAATGTGTCCCATCCCTAACAAATGAGAGCATTTATCGAAAAAATAAATTATGACATTTAAAAATTGAAAATAGAAAAATTTAATGAAATTTTGATAATTTTTGGGAAGACTCAAAATTATGAATGAAAACTACAATGTAGAATAGCGTATGTACACTCAAACGAAAGTAAATTTTGTTTTCTCTCTCATCCGAGGTACGCATTTTGTCCACGAGTTGAAATTTCCACAGGAAACTGGAAACAAAAGAGGCAATATTTTCAAAATGTTTGTATCGGCAGAAAAAATGTTTGACAAGTGTCTCTCCAGCAAAATTAAAAAACAGAAAAATACAAAAATATGTTAAAAATGTCAACATTTACACAAAAAGTTGAAAACGTGAATGAAAATTATAAAATTAATGATATAGTAAATCTTTGGGAGGAAAACAATCATTTCTTCTACTCATATTACTGAGAATTTAATGTATTTTAGTATAAATTCCCATTAAAATCAACAAACAAAATTTTTGAAAAAATGAATTATTTTACTATGAATTACGAATTGTGCCGTATGAACGGGTTAATCCGTGTACCTAATTCTGAGAGCGAACAACGTTGTTCGGTTTTCAATGGAAACATGCTATAAGGAATTTCAACGGAATTTGAGTTAAATAATAAGGAAAAAATATTATACATCAATAAAAAAGTGTTTTAATTTTGTAAATGAATCACTGATTTACTACATTTCCACAGGAATCTTTTGCTTGGATTTTTTCTATAGAAAATATTGTTATCTACAATATGATTTATAAAAAATGTTGTTATCGACAATTTTTCTTGTAGAAAGTTAAGTGATAATTTTGATAAAAAAAATGTAATCCCTATTTTTAATAGAAAATCTTGTTTTTGACAGCATCTTATCGATAATATTTTCAGTAGAAAATCTTTATATTGACAACATTTTCTATAGAAATTATTTTAATCGACAATATTTTCTATAGAAATTATTGCTATCGGTAATATTTTCTATAGAAATTATTGCTATCGGTAATATTTTCAACAGAAATTAATGCTATCGACAATATTTTCTATAGAAATTATTGTTATCAACAATATTTTCTATAGAAATTATTGTTATCAACAATATTTTCTATAGAAATTATTGTTATCGACAATATTTTCTATAGAAATTATTGTTATCGACAATATTTTCTATAGAAATTATTGCTATCGACAATATTTTCCAAAGAAATTATGGTTATCGACCATATTTTCTATAGAAATTATTGTTATCGACAATATTTTCTGTAGAAATTATTGTTACTCGACAATATTTTCTGTAGAAATTACTATTACTCGACAATATTTTCTATAGAAATTATTGTTATCGACAACATTTTCTATAGAAATTATTGTTATCGACAATATTTTCTATAGAAATTATTGTTATTCGACAATATTTTCTATAGAAATTATTGTTACTTGACAATATTTTCTGTAAAAATTATTGTTACTTGACAATATTTTCTGTAGAAATTATTGTTACTCGACAATATTTTCTGTAGAAATTATTGTTACTCGACAATATTTTCTGTAGAAATTATTGTTATTCGACAATATTTTCTATTGAAATTATTGATATTCGAGAATATTTTCTATAGAAATAATTGTTATTCGACAATATTTTCTATAGAAATTATTGTTATTCGACAATATTTTCTATAGAAATTCTATATAAATTGTTATTCGACAATATTTTCTATAGAAATTATTGTTATCGACAATATTTTCTATAGAAATTATTGTTACTCGACAATATTTTCTGTAGAAATTATTGTTACTCGACAATATTTTCTGTAGAAATTATTGTTACTCGACAATATTTTCTATAGGAAATCTGGTTATAGATAATATTTCTATAGAAAGTATATCTACCTAAAGAACTTTTCGCGTTTTTAAGGAACAGTTTTATTTTAAAATTTAAATTATTTGTTATCGAAAATATTTTTCTTCAAATATTATTATTGGGCGATAATATATATTTTGTACATATTACTGGCATTGACAACACGACAACTGATTAACGTGTAAGGTAAAATACCCAATCAGAATTTATGATAAATTCATACTTGCTCTGATTTTAAATTAGCTACTGGCACGCTTACCATTGTTGATGTATATTAAACAGAGAGGAGAGTTCAGTTGATCGTTTTCTACAAACAACTCTTAATTAACTCAGGGGAGAGAGATAGCAATAATAGGGTTGCCAATAGTTATAACTTTTGTGGGATTTTTCTGATGACTGCAGAGCTAAATGAAACAAAATACTTCAAATCTTCAAATCGAATTCTAATATTAAAACTATTAGAGCAAATTCTAACATTAAACTATTATTGGAAACATTTGATTTGAGACCAACTCCTTACTGGTACAAATGTATTTAGAATTTTTATTAATATTGCAACAAATTTGTGGAAGAAAGCCAAAATTAGATCTGGTAACTCCTTTACTATATATGTAGATAACCAAAAGAGAGTACAACTGATTAATTTATTATATTCTATAATATATTTTTTCAAACATTAGTATTCTATAGAAGCTAGACGATAGCACTTTAGAGCTTGGCTGAAAAAATTGTCGATTTTATTATTTATTTTTATTACCATGGAGAAGTGGCACAATAAAATAGCTGTAGTGACCGGAGCCAGTGCTGGTATTGGAGCAGCATGCTGCAAAGCTTTAGTGGACAATGGAATGATTGTCATTGGTTTGGCTAGACGCTCGGAGCGTGTTGATGAATTACGTCAAACATGGCCCGATGATAAGGAGAAACAAAGTCGTCTGCATTCCCTAAAATGTGATGTACGACAAGAATCTGAAGTGATCGCAGCATTTGATAAAATTGTCAAAGATTTTGGTCCCATAGCAGTCCTTATAAACAATGCCGGCGTTGTTCGTGACACTGAACTGGTAAAGGAGAACAATACTGAAGATTTGCGGGCCATTGTCGACACCAATATTATGGGTGTTGCATACTGCACCAGAGAAGCGTTCAAGACAATGTCCAAGAATACCGATGGTTTGGGTCATGTCATAATTATCAATAGTGTTGTCGGTCACAAGGTAATTCATTTTGAGGGATCATCAACAAACATGTACCCGGCCTCAAAGCATGCCGTAACAGCTATGACCGAAGTATATCGCAATGAATTTCTAATGCACAATACAAAACTCAAAGTAACGGTAAGATAATTTGGAAATTTCTACATCGATTTGGTGTTATCTTATCTTTTCGTATTCTTATAGAGTATTAGTCCTGGTGTGGTGCGTACTGAAATTTTAAGTGAAGAAGATTGGGAAAAGATGAAAGATTTTGCCGCCTTGGAAGCTTCGGATATTGCCGATGCCGTAGTTTATTGCCTGCAAACTCCACCACACGTCCAGGTAAGATATTGGTATTACACACCATAATTTTTGAAAATAATTTAAGAATTTCTGTTTTCTAGATTCATGAACTGACCATAAAACCAGTTGGAGAAAAATTCTAATTTAAACGAATAATAACATAATATGAAAACTTACCATTAAATGTAAAATAAGTAAAACACTAAACCTAAGGTCCCACAGTCGTGTAGGACCTTTTTGTGGGCTCCACATCCTGGAGCTGTATTGTCGTATGATGAAATCTGTGAAGAAGACAAAGTAAAACATTGCTTTATTATTAGGTATGTGTGTAAAAAGTTTTCAATAAAAAGATTGCCAAAAAATTTTGGGTATTGGAACTATGAAAAATAAATGTTGAAAAAAGCTGCTAAGTTCGAACTTCCTCCACCATTTGGAAGGAACTTGAAAATTTTCAAAAAACTTCCGGAAACTACCACTTAAATGAAAACTGTTATATGGAGACTATACATTTTCTATTTACAGGATTTGTTAAAGAAAATATGCTGGATAATAGATATGAAGATAGTATTGTGGATAACAAGATTCTCTAGAAACTGTTGTCGATAACAAGATTTTCTATAGAAACTGTTGTCGATAACAAGATTTTCTATAGAAATTGTTGTCGATAACAAGATTTTCTATAGAAACTATTGTAGATAACAACAATTTCTATAGAAAATATTGTTATCGACAACAGTTTCTATAGAAAATCTTGTTATCGACAACAGTTTCTATAGAAAATCTTATTATCGACAACAGTTCCCATAGAAAATATTATCGATAACAATAGTTTTTATAGAAAATATTGTCGATAACAATAGTTTCGAATATTGTCGATAACAATAGTTTTTATAGAAAATATTGTCGATAACAATAGTTTCTATAGAAAATATTGTCGATAACAATAGTTTCTATAGAAAATTTTGTCGATAACAATAATTTCTATAGAAAATATTGTCGGCAACAATAGTTTCTATAGAAAATATTGTCGACAACAATAGTTTCTATAGAAAATATTGTCGATAACAATAGTTTCTATAGAAAATATTGTCGATAACAAAAGTTTCTATAGAAAATATTGTCGATAACAATAGTTTCTATAGAAAATATTGTCGATAACAAAAGTTTCTATAGAAAATATTGTCGATAACAATAGTTTCTATAGAAAATATTGTCGATAACAATAATTTCTATAGAAAATATTGTCGATAACAATAGTTTCTATAGAAAATATTGTCGATAACAATAGTTTCTATAGAAAATATTGTCGATAACAATAGTTTCTATAGAAAATATTGTCGATAACAATAGTTTCTATAGAAAATATTGTCGATAACAATAGTTTCTATAGAAAATATTGTCGATAACAATAGTTTTTATAGAAAATATTGTCGATAACAATAGTGTCTATAGAAAATATTGTCGAGAACAATAGTTTATATAGAAAATATTGTCGATAACAATAGTTTCTATAGAAAATATTGTCGATAACAATAATTTCTATAGAAAATATTGTCGATAACAATAGTTTCTATAGAAAATATTGTCGATAACAATAGTTTCTATAGAAAATATTGTCGATAACAATAGTTTCTATAGAAAATATTGTCGATAACAATAGTTTCTATAGAAAATATTGTCGATAACAATAGTTTCTATAGAAAATATTGTCGATAACAATAGTTTTTATAGAAAATATTGTCGATAACAATAGTGTCTATAGCAAATATTGTCGATAACAATAGTTATATAGAAAATATTGTCGATAACAATAATTTCTATAGAAAATATTGTCGATAACAATAGTTTCTATAGAAAATATTGTCGATAACAATAGTTGCTATAGAAAATATTGTCGATAAAAATAGTTTCTATAGAAAATATTGTCGATAACAATAGTTTCTATAGAAAATATTGTCGATAGCAATAGTTTCTATAGAAAATATTGTCGATAGCAATGGTTTCTATAGAAAATATTGTCGATAGCAATGGTTTCTATAGAAAATATTGTCGATAGCAATAGTTTCTATAGAAAATATTGTCGATAGCAATAGTTTCTATAGAAAATATTGTCGATAACAATATATAACAAGATATTTTCTATAGAAAATATTGTCGATAACAATAGTTTATATAGAAAATATTGTCGATAACAATAGTTTCTATAGAATATATTGTCGATAACAGTAGTTTTTATAGAAAATATTGTCAATAACAAGATTTTCTTTAGAAAGTGTTGTCGATAGCAAGATTTTTTTATAGAACTATTGCCGATAACAAGATTTTCTATAGAAAATATTGTTGCAAACAATGGTTTCTAGAAAAACTATTGTCGATAAAATTAGTTTTTATAGAAAATATTATCGATAACAATAGTTGCCATAGAATTTATTGTCGATTATAATATTTTCTATAGAAAATATTGTCGATAACAGGATTTTCTATAGAGAATATTTTGGATAACAAGGTTTCTAAAAAATTGGTGATTCTCTATAGAAAGTGTTTACGATAACAAGATTTTGAGTCGATATCAAATTTTCTCTGGACATTTTTATCAACATCGATTACAAAATGTTTTTGAAAAGCTTATCGACTTTTGATGAAATGAAGTCCATAACTGTTTTTTAAATGGATTGTATGTTTAAATCTTTATTTTTCACGAAAGAACACACTGCTGAAAACAAGTCATTTTCGATAAACATTAGCTTTATAAAATAGTGTAAATAACATATGTTCTATAAAAGAAATTTGACAATATTTTTTGGTGGGGACTTACACATTTAGACGCATTAATGATACTAAGATTCTTTTTTAACCATAAAAAATTCCCAATCTATTCTGGCATAAAATTCCAAAACTATATTAATTTGTTCCACTTTAAACGTCCACTTACTCACAGCCATCACCTCAGTACAACTTACATATGTGGCGTGTAACACGTAGGCTCCATACATTGATTGACCTCAAAATACCTGTCATTAAGAGATCATCGAAATCATGATCAGAACTAATTTGCGGTCGTCATACATTGCGCAGTAGGTGGAGTGAGAGTTAGACGACACACCCATTTGCCAAAATGAGCATATAATACGAACTTAAATGGCAATTTGGGGAAAGAAGTAGAAAGAACCAGAAAATACGTTTATTGCGGGCGAAGAAAGCAAAACGTAAAAAATTGCTACAATATCTCATAAAAATAATGTTGAACAAAGTCGTGAGCTATAAAAATCTCCAGCGAAAATCCTCAATGAATTGAACAATGCACAACATAAGTCAGAGAAGAAAAAATAACAAAACAGACCACTGGCAACCAGGAAAGGTCCGAAAGAACAGCAATAACAATTTGTAAATACAACATTCGTGCAACTACCAAGAAATGTCGGTGCAGGGCCAGCCAAATGCTCCACATTCATTGTCGAGCTCTTGCAACATTGCAGCAAGAAAACATTTGGTTTCTTCCTCGAACAATTTTGTAAAGCGCCAACGTGCGCTGTGATCAGTGATCAGTGATCGTAAAAAGCAATTATTATGACGGACCAATTTTTGACCATTTCCCCTCAAACACACACACACATTCACTGTTTTCGACTGTTTGATCAATTCTTCCGTCTCAACAATAGCCTGAAGCCAGAAGCGTACTCATAATAATGGTAACACACAAAAAATTCCATTTATGTGTTCCTTTTTTTGTCTGGCCGGAGCTTAAGTGGCGCGTAGCCACGGGCTAACATTGAAACAGACTCTCACATTGTTCGTTCCGTCCATGTCTGGCAACAAAATGCCACAACAACAAAGGAACCTACCAAAGTGCAAGAGGTCGCCTAAAATGCCTTAAAAGCTTTTGTATTATAGTTCTTATTTGCGGGATACATGTTTATTGGTGTTGTTGTTTCTGGCTAAGCTATTGTAGTTGCAGTTATTGTTCGAACACTAATTTAAATTGGCATGAAATTTTAAATAAAAGCGGTAAATTGCAATTTCTGGAAAAGCGAACAAAGAACACGAAATTGCATGGGAATTTTGAAGAATTTTTCTTCAATGCTAGCGATGTCTGTCCGTCCATCTGTCTGGCTGGTGTGACCAATAACTTTCGTAAGGAGTATGCGATTTGGTGCAAACATGGTACATCGGTATATTATTGTCAAACTTAGATTGAGTTCGAAAATTGGCAATATCGGTTCACTCCTTCTAGTACCTCCCCCAAAAAAGGTCGAAATTTTCAAAAAAAAAATTTCAATGCACATGAAGAGAAATGATAATCCTATCTTGCTCCAACTTTGCAAATCCAAATATTTCGATTAGTGCTGCGTCAGGTGTGAGAATGGACTATATCGGTCCACTTCCTCCCCCGCAAAAGGTCAACATTGTTAATAATTATAACTCTTATATAATGTGATCTAAGAGTCCAATTTTCCTCAAATTACACAGATCACAATATTTTTATTAACCAATGGTCTGATGTGAAGATGGGATATGCCGGTCCATTCCGTCTGGTACTTCTCCCACAAAGGTTCAAAATTTTGAATACCCATGCAACTGATAAAACGCGAAATTAACATCTACTTAAATTCTGACTTAGCAAATCTCAATATTTTTATCAACACTAGATCTGTTATAAAGATGGTAGAGGTCGGAAAATTCCTTCTGGAACCTTACCCACAAAGGATCACAATTTTTAATACTTTTATTTTTCATAACTTGCGAAACAAGTCTGCGATTCTTTACAACTTCCTGTATGTGGATGTGGAATATGGGCTTTATGATTTCGCATAAAATTGGATATAAATGTTGGATTTATATCTGTATTAGATCAAGTATGAAATTGGAGTACTTCGGTCGACTATATCTGGTACGTCACACACATTTTGAACATTTTTTAAAAATTATCACATGTCTCATATAAAGTTGAGGAAGTATCCGATATAGTTGAAACCTGGCACGTTGCAATATTTATATCATATTTATTTAGGTCCGACACTAAATGGCCTATATTAGCCTATTCCTTCTGAACTTACTCCATAGAGGATCAACAATTTGAATAATCATAACAAAAGTCGAAATATTTGTAAATAATAGAACAATGGCTGAGGGTATACATCTGTAGGCAAAACCGACTGATACTTTTAATTTGTTTTTATACCCTACAAGACTATGTGTTGGGGGTATTATAAGTTTGATTGGGCCAAAAATTATGTAACACATCGAAATATTGGTTTCCCATATAGGAAAGTATATATGGATCTTCCTATCTCGCCGAGCTGAGTCGATCTAGCTATGTATGTCCGTCCGTCCGTCTGTCCGTCTGTCCATGTTAATTTGTAATCACTCTACAGGTCGCAATTATGGTCCAAT